CAGGATGCACGCTTCATCCTCACAGCACTTTCCGTGCAATTCTGGTACCGAGTTACCCACAAAACCATACAAAGCGTGTGATGAACGGTTCGATTAATTTAATAAACACATTATCTCCTGACTGCTTATTGAATTCCGAGTAACGCCGTCACGGCATATTGCAGCTAATGAGTTGATCCTTTATCGATCTTGACTTCTGCTTTAGAGATGAGTGAGGAGACCACGGGACAGGGGTTGGGTAACAGGGAGGCAGATGACTTCCAGCAAGGGCTGTGACAAAGCGGTGACGGGCCGGTTGCAGTTAGCCTCTGGGACTGCTGCGGGCTTAGACAAGCGGCAGCGGCACGTTATGGCAGATGCCTTCAGGTGATGCTCTGCAAACGCCTCACATGGGCTTTTGCTCACGCAAGTTTTCATCTCGCTCAGTAACTCTGCTCAGCAGATGAAAGTAGAAATCTCGTGTGCATAAGGGACGTCCTTCGAGTTCCAGTCTCTCCTTACCAGATAAGCCATAAGGAAATAGGATGCTATATTCACCTACTACAGCAACAATATAAAAATAGCCCTGCAATGATCTTTGACTAATTTTCGAGTTTTGTTTTCTTTTTTTCTTTTGACTTTCCAGGCTGGGAACGAGACGGGTGGCTGTTTGCTGATGGACAGAGTGCTAGAAAAGTATTATCTTTCCACCATGTACAGCCTTGAGTTCATTTTAGGCTTCGTTGGAAACACCATTGTTATGTTTGGCTATATTTTCTGCCTGAAAAACTGGAAAAGTTGCAACATCTACCTGTTTAATTTATCGTTATCAGATTTACTATTCCTGTGTACTCTTCCAATGCTCGTTAACAGCTACTCCAGAGATTACTGGGCAAAGGAGAGCGTGATGTGCCACATCAACAGATTCCTGTTGCATGCAAACCTCTATAGCAGCATCCTTTTCCTCACCATTATCAGTATTGACCGATACATGCTCATAAAATACCCTTTCAGAGAACACTTCTTACAGAAGAGGCCAATGGCCTTTTTCGTGTCTGTTGCCATATGGATTTGGGTGATACTGGAGCTGGTGCCGCTAACATATTTCCTGGAGCCTGTAATGCCTGACAACAAGTGTCTCGATTACGCAAGCTCTGGAGACCCCGTGAAAAGCCTCAGCTACAGCGTGTTTCTGACTGTCTTTGGGTTCCTTATCCCTCTCTTGATCATGTGCTGCTTCTCTGTGAAGATGGTTCTTTTTCTTAAAAACAGAAGCGAGCAACTCAGTTCTGTCCTGACACTCGAAAAGCCTCTTATTTTAGTCGTCCTCACAGTGGCCATCTTCTCGTTGCTCTTCACTCCCTATCACATAATGCGCAATGTCCGACTTGCTTCCCGAATACCAGCTCTGAACATACCCATGTGCACGCAGGATGTCATCAACATCATTTACATCATCACGAGACCCATTGCGTTTTTGAATAGTGTCATTAATCCTGTTTTTTATTTCTTAATGGGTGACCACTTCAGAGAGATGCTGATGGCAAAAATAAGGCAGCTCTGGAGCAGGCTGACGACCACGCGGAAATGAACCACTAAGGAGACTTCTTGCAGTGGGAGATGGGGGGGAGTGTTCACCAATGTACAGTGCCATTTTTTTTAGATAACTTTATTTGTGCTCTAGAATATGCGTGAGCTGATTCTGTTGCTCTAAATGCACTTGTTATCTTATTGCACAGGAGACCTCCTCCTGCTAATCTGACTCCAGCAAACCAGAAGTGATGCTCACTCACAGCAGTACAGCAGGAAACCGTGCTCTCACAGCAGCATACACTGTGGCCTGTTAATGTTGTAAATAAAAGGTCATCACGGTAGTTCTTAGAGGGAAAATAACACTGCTCTCAGACGGCTTCTTCATGAGCCATAACTTGATGCGGGACTGGCCCTAGGCATGGATAAAACGTGCCAGGAGCACGAATTCATGTGGTTGATCAAGGTTGAGTCTTCTTTGTAGAAGTGTTTGCGAACTCTGCATCTCCTGGGAGGTTTACCTTTCAGAATACATAACTGGGACAATTTCCATTTCCAGCTGATTTGGCGAGGGTTGGCACTTCGGATGTGGCAAAGCAGGAGGGTATGCAAACGGCTGGGCGGGACGCTTTGTCGGCACTGCAGGAGGGAGGCAGCGGCTAGGCTGCTAGTTCTGTTTGTGATGAGGAGTGCAGGAAGCTGTAACGTTTGGCTGCTGGTCTTACGAACATTTCATGGAAGCCCCGAGACAGCGGAGGTGTGTGCGTGTGCAGACAGGTTCTCTCACACTTTGATATCGAAGCTAGATTCAGCTTGCAGAAGTAGAAATAAGAAAATCCGTCGGTTTAGTTCTTAGCTGAGATTTGCCTTTGTACATCACTGGGACAGCTATGCAAGCTCATATTGGCATTTTTGCATTCACTTTTCAAAGTATAGATTTACTTAACCGTCATTTAATTGCCTGTAAGCGCGAGCAGAATGCACAGCTTGAAGCCGAATTTGGACCTCACAGTTCGAACTTCATTAACAGTTCTGATAATGAGGCGGGAGCTAACGAGGAGCCAGTTGTCCTCCTGAGATCCCTGCAGAATCGTTGCAGCAGCAGAACTTACTCTCCAATTGACTGTCCTGACTCCAGATGTAAAGGGCAGAGATCCACGGAGTAATAACCTTGTACAAGCTTGGGCTCGGGAAGGACCTGCCGAGCAGGAACAGTGCCGGGGCGGGCGCAGTGCGGGCAGCAGTGCGGGCAGGGTGCAGGCAGCCCCTCCTCTGCCTGTGTTCCAGTCGGCGATGGAGGAGCCCCCGGCGATGCGCGAGGCGAGCGCTGCCCAGGCATGGAGGAAGGACCACCGGTCGTGTCTCATCAGAGACCACTGTATTTCTGCTTTCTGATGTGTCGTTCACCTGCAATACACTTAAATGTTTCATTGATACCTGCCTGCCTGCCTGAAAAATAAGCTGTGAATCCTGTTAAAAAAAAAAAAAAGCGCCTCCTTTGTGTTGAGTATTTTGTTTCATATGCTATTCTCTTTAACCTCCATGGAGCCACTCTACCTGCCTTTTTTCCTGGGCACAGTAAGACCTAAAAGTCTGTGAGCAAAAGCACTCACTTGGCTCAATTTGAGGGATAAAGAAGCCGCTTTTCTCTGCGAGTGTCTCGCGCAAACACCCACACCAGCGCTCCCCTGGGGTGCCCACGGCACACGCTGGGTGCTGCACCCAGGCCCCCTCGGGGCACCCGCGGAGATCCCCGAGCTCAGGGCGATGCTGTGGGAAGGATGTTGCCATCACCTCGCACGAGCGTCTCCTGCGCCGCTGCCCGTGGGTTTGCCGTGGAGGGCTGGTCCCACACCCCAAGCAACGCTGCCCTGGCAGCGGTTCTGGCGCTGGAACAAGCGCAGCGTAGGGGGTGGAAACAGTGTCGGTGGGGAGAGGGGTGTCCGGAGCGCTAATCAGAGCTGTGACTGGAGAGAAATGTGGGTAAATCCTTATTTTCTTCCCTCTGTTTTGTAACAAATCTTTACACACAAATCACTAAATCGCTCTGTCGGTGGTGGAAAAAAGATCCGTCGTGTGTTAGGGCAGCATGGCCTGGAACAGACAGGGCTACGCTGGAGTTTCCATTAGAAATACGTCCTGGTTTTGTAAGGACCCGCACCAAGAGCCATTATTCAGCTGGGTGTGACGTTGCACGTGCTCAGCCCAATGCAAAGGAAGCTTCGAGCAGAATTTCTAACATTGGGCCAAATACTCCCTTGTAGAAGTTGGAGTCTATGCCTTAAAGGGAATTTTCTTTCCAGGAAAGTACCATACAGCAATATATATTAAGCTGAAACACCTTTACTGGACTCACCTTTGCCTTTTTGGGTTGACAGAAGAGGACTTTTCAAAGAAGTGTTTATTTTCTAAAACTGTGGCTATTCGGGGCTTTCCTGTATCAGCTCAGTGGCTTCTTTTTCTTGTGAATGGGCTTATGTGGGGTGCAAGAGGAGCTGGTGGGTTTTGGTTTTTTTAAAACACGTACATAATCCCATAGCAGAAGCGGAAAGGCCACACGCGCTCCATCTGGACACGCTGTTTGTGTTGAACCGTGTTCCTGCATTAGCGGTCTGTGGCTGTCAGCTCCTGCGTCTATCTGTATTTGTGTTCACTGCTGCCATCCATCTGGGGCTTCAGAGAGGATGCAAAAAGAGCGATTTGTGGTTTTCAACACAAACCCACCTTCTGTGTAGCCTCAATTCTTATGTGTGTCTCACGTAGGAACCTGCCAAACCGAATGCAACGCCTATCGCTCCACGGCGCGACAGATTGCACCTTCTGTCGCCTGTGACACAGCCGAGTTACTCACAAGACCAGTGTAATAAAGTGGTAAATATTGTTAATCCTCAGTTTGCGATCCACGCGGTGTTCCCGGGTTTACGCAGGCGGCTCCTTGGCAGGAGGCTCACCGCGGGTGACGGTGCCCCGGCCTGTTGCGGGCAGTTTGCCGCACACCCATCCTTCTGGGCAGCTGTGTTTCTCTTCTGGTGATCGCCATCCCCTTCCCAGGGTACGAAAACCATCTTTCTTCACCTTTTGCTGTCACGGGGCAGTTTTGCGATACTTGCCATCCCCTTCCCCCCCACGCGACAGTCGTACGTGCCGGGCAGCGGGACGGCAGCAGCCCCCGTTGTGCAAGCGCCGGTTCGGCACCGCACCTCGTGGCGGAGGGGGAAGCGGAGGGAAGGGGTTGCGGGGCGCTGGTTCAGGCCCCACGCTGAAGGCGGGGCAGGAAGGAAGGAGAAGGCAGAAGAGAAATAAACCTCTGCCTGTGAGCCGCTTTCCAGC